CTGTGTCTTCTTCCAAATCACCACAGTAATCATAATCCAGCTGAAAAAAGGTGTATTATTGCTATTTAGATAAACATTTATCCTAACTAAAAGTGAAATATTCATCTACTTCAAATAAACCAGGTTATACTTTAATATCTCTTAAGATCAGTATATGCCTTGTAACATATCTTGTACCTTTATACTATACACTTGGTTTGGATTGTGTAGTAAATCAAGTATTTAAATTCAGTATTATTTTATCTTATGCTGATATGCTAGCACTTACCCTATGAGGCATTTCTTCCAACACAAATGGGTCTGGAACATTCTCATTTCCAGTGACACAAACTGGAGTAATTAGTTCCATAATTTTATCTGCGACATTATCAAAATGCCTTGGAGGTGGACCGCCCCCTGTACCAGACTGATCTTTTTTCCTGTCTGCTAGTCTCGTCTTTGAATTTTTTTTATATCAATCCATGTCTAGAACGATTATAATTTTTTTACGTCAGTACCAAGCAAATGCAAAATCCATTATTTAATAGTATAATTAGACAGAGATATAATGTAATACTTACTTTTCACCATTGCACCCAGTCTTTACTAGCTCCATTAGCAACGCATTTAATTTGTTTGCCATTTCAGTCCATAACGCCTTGGACTAGGCACGGCTATATGCCGGCGTGAATTTCCCTGGTGCATTTGGGGGTGTTCTCGGAGAAATTCAATCAATTTCCCCTTTTGCTCATTTGTAAGGTATTTTTTGGACGTTTTCGACTCCATAGATAAAATCACAGATAAAATAATAAGGAGAAAATCTTGGCCGAAATCTTTGGTTAGTTTTTGACTGTCAAATAGTCAAATTTATCTCCATTTTGTTTGGTTTAACACATTTATTCAAACCTGGCAACCATGTGTCTTGATTTCCTTTCTCCTTGCTTTCGAGTCCTTTCAAGAATACAGTATTTTCGAATCGATGGAAAACCGGGGGAGTAGAAAAAGAGAGGGAGTGTGATTTTCTATTGAAGACAAGAATACGGGCACTGGATGGAATTCAAATCAGTTTCTCTCAGTTTTTCATAAATTCGCCGTCTTAATTGTTCTTCATCTTGTTGGGCTTCCCAGCTTCTATGATAAACCTTCCTAAACAGTAAATCCCAAATATCCTCTATTGGGCGAGCCTGTGGGAAGTTTGGAGAATTATCGTTTTTGGGAACAAGAGGTATGTTCTGTTTTCGAAGTCAGTTTTGGGTATCTGTTGAGTAATGGCACAATGCTAGGTCTGTCAAGACATGATATGGTCATTAGCATGATGTTCGCGGACAAGCCGAAGCAATTTGAAAAGGCAGTTATCAATATAGCTCTGACTATTCAAAGCTCCACCTCTCAATCTTCCCACAAAAGATTGGGATACACCCCTGTTTGAATTTTAGTACCAGACATGGATATTATCTGCAAATTTCGCCTTATATTTGTATCTAACATTGTCTTATGTCTACTCTAATTATTACCAAAGGTACATTAGGCCCGTATCGTCAGTCGTCCCTACATTTGTAGGGCGCCTTTATGGCCTCCTTGATTGTCATACTATTGAGGTTATGTCACAAACATCTATTTGCATCAAATTGTGCTTGCTTTCAAGCTATATCATGTTTTATCAGCCTGAAATTTCCTACAATTTAAAAAGAAAACATATTTTCACAATAGGAGAGCGCTGACGCTGACACGGGACAAGTGTAATCTAGAAATTTTTGAAGGAGATAAAGAAGTATGACAATCAAGAAGGCCATAAGTGCGCCCTACAATTGTAGGGACGACTGACGATACGGGCCTTAAAGTCTTTCATTTTCGTTCTCTTACTATTTTGTAATACCAAACCGTAGAGCTTAGAACGCTGAAGGCACTTCAAAGTACCGAATAGACGAACTTATATTTGAGATACATCTTGGCAACATCGTCAGTAACGTCATGTATTAGCAAATGTTATGACAGCTTGTAGGTTAGAAAGTGTAGTGCGATTTGAGTCGATCTAAAGTTAAGTAATTTTGACTTATAAAGTTCGATATTCGTATTAACTTGAAGGTAAGCACTTTACTTACGAAATCCAATATATAAATATTATTTTCTAATTATTTTGAAATATATATACGTCATTATTTATTTGGTACCTACAAGTACCGTTGGTACTAGGTTATGTTTATGTAGCAGTCCTCAGGATTTCATTTTTGCAGAATGTCATCAAATTGGGAAAGAAAGCGTCCACTAACTGATGCTGAGTTATTGGAATTAGTGGAAAATGATGAGTTAGATGATTTTCTACCATTAGATAATAGTACAGAGACAGACAATGAACCTGTTTCTGATGAGGAAGAAGTTCAAGATAATCTGCAGCTGCAGCTTGAAGAGCAAAAAATTCAACCACAACAATTTGAAGAGTGTATTGAACAAGAAAATGAACCTGAGCGTATTTGGAAGAAAATAGAAAAAAGTGCCATTCCATTGCCTGAATTCAATTATGCTTCCTGGAAGGAAGTTTATTTTAGTGAATGTACAACTGCCACTGACGTGTTTGCAAAGCTGTTAGGTAAAACACTACATATTATTACTTTTCAAACAAATTTATACGCCACACAAAAAGGTTAAACTTTAAACATTAGTGAAGAAGAAATTCTGGCATTTATCGGAATAAACTTTCTTATGGGTTATCACGTTGTGCCAAATATTGAAAGTTATTGGTCCACTGCAGATGATTTGAAAGTACAAGTAGTACCTGAAACAATGTCAAGAAATAGGTTTCAAACTATACACACACACATTTGCATCTCAATGATAATAGCCTTATTCCCAGTAATAATAGAGACAAATTATATAAAGTCAGGCCATTTATTCACTCCTTGAATTCGATGTTCCTGAATTACGTGGGAGAACAAAAGATGTGTGTGGACGAATCTATTGTAAAATTCAAGGGCCGCTCTTCAATAAAGCAGTACAATCGTATGAAGCCCATAAAAACAGGCTACAAGTTTTGGATTTTGAGTGACATGTCCGGGTTTGTAAATAAATTTGAAATTTATCAGGGAAAGACTGAACAGATTACTAAAAAATTTGCAAATTACAGTTTGGGAGAGAGAATTGTTCTACAATTGACTGAGCAAGAATGGCACCAAAATAAGATCATTTATTTTGATAATGATTTTACCCATTAGGTTGCTTGAGAAGTTAAAACTAAGGAACATTGGCATGTGGTACCATCAGAAGCAACAGAAAGGGGTTACCTATAAGAATGACAAATGATAAAGGTTTGAAGCGAGGTGAATTTGATCATAAAGCTTCAAATACTGGCATTACTTTCTACAAATGGAAAGATAATAAACTAGTTACATTTGCTTCTAATTTTCATGGCACTGAAACTACTCAAATAAATTGAAAACTAAGAGATGGCACGACTTGCTGGATCGGTGGACCTCAAATTGTTGAAGACTATAACAAATTTACGGGAGGAGTAGATTACCATCAACTACGCCAGTGTTATGGTATTGATAGGCGCTCAAAGAAATGCTGGCACCGTATATTTTGGGGCTGCCTTGAAATAACTTTTGTGAACGCATACGTATTATACAAAAAACAAGAAATGAACCAAAAATGACACCTTTATCATTTAGAAGAGAAGTGACTCTTGGGTTATGTAGCAAATCTTCAAAATTCACTGAAAGGAAGAGAAAATCTACAAACTCAGAACCGACTCAAAGAAAAGGCGCTACAACTACAGTGTATCATCAGAAATACGATTAGGAAACAGAGGAAACCACTGGCCTAAATTCGTTGAAAGACGTCGACGGTGTGAAATGTTCTACATGTGGTGTTTTCCTCTGTGTAAATGAAAAAAAGAACTGTTTATCACTGTACCATGATGTATCATAATCCAATCTATGAATCTAATCTAATCTAGTGTATAATGAATAAAAAATTAATTATTTTATTTTTTATTTTCTGACATAGTATGACTACCAAAGGTACTTAGTAGTACCACTTACAGAAATATCTCAAAATGCTATTTTGCTGCGGTCACTTTCAGACCTATCTATAGCTTGAACTAAAACAGTAACAGATTTCAAATGGTATAATGATTTCGACTTCTGGCATTTGAGGGTATGGTAATTTTGTGGTACTTAGAAGTCCTTTCAGGAGACAAAGGGTTAAGTCTGTTTCGATATATAAGACTATTCCTCCTCAATTCCAACGATAGAAGATGTGTATTGACGAGTCAGTCCCTTGTTTACGTTCAAACCTATTTTTCTGCTCTTCTCACCAATCTCTCTGACCTCTGCGCAGTAAATGCACGTGGTTCTCCCCTTTTTGATTGATACAGACATGGAACTCCTGCTCGCATTCTGCTATTGTTCGATACATGGTTCTGCGTTAAATGTTTTCATTCTGCGATATTCAATAGATTTCAGCATGGGTGTCCTCCCAACCCACTTGTAGATACTTTTTTCTAATTTCTAATTTATACATCTTAAAGCGAAAACTTCAAAATAAATAAATGTGAACAGGAAAGTAAGTAAACAGACTTCTGTTTCCAAAGTCAACTTAATATTATTTTGTGTTTGTTAAAATTAAAGCCAATGAATTTTGTGCCATAAATTTTCGGAGATACGTTATTAAGTGACAGGCGATTTAGAATATATGGACAACAGTATTGGTTGTTAATAACCTTTCATAAGAATATTAACGAGTGCACATATTTTCAAATTTCATCGCTTTTACTTTTCGTCATCAGCTTAGGGCACAGTTTCAGTAATTTTGAGTCCATGATTTCTGTACCTGGAGTTTTGAAGGGTGCTTATATCCTTTTGTTGTGTCAATCGTTGCAAACTGAACAGTGAGTCCGTATTTTTGACTTGTTTATCTGTTTAGGAGCGACAAGGTACGGAAATTTTTGAAGACGAGCATAATGTACTAGAAAGTCAATTTATTGCTTACATTTTTACACAGAAATTAAAGTACATACAATAAACCTACAAACTAGTTAGACTCTTAGTGACATCTCCGTGTATATTAAATAAATATTCATCGGCCCAATCACCGTTGAGGTAAAGCTGATACCATGGCTTATTCTGTCCGAGATGCACAGGATAGTAGTTGAGTGTATTCTGTGGCATGTGTTTCTGATAGATCGTATCTCCTTGGAGACGTTGATACGAACTTTGAGGCTGGTTACACGAAACGTGACCTACCGACGGATTTCTCGGTATCGTTTCTGGCATGCACCTGTTGTGGCCAACCTGCCTCTTAGTCACCAAATGGTGCTTAGCCCTTATCGTTTGGATTCCTGATTTGGTTTGACTAGGAGTAGATGAAGGGAATGTCCGAGTAGGCGATGACGCGCTTTGTTCCTCTTCCTTTTTGAACTTCATCCTCTGGTTCTGGAACCAGACTTTGACTAGGCGTTCTCTCAGGTTTAATTCTTGTGCCATTTCGATGCATCGGCATCAGCACAAATACTTATCCGTGTAGAATTGCTTCTCCAGTCGTACAAGTTGGTGTGCGGTATAAGCTATGCGGGCTCACTTCGGCTTGGGGGTTCCGCTTGAATTAAGCCAGGCACTGCTCGGACCTGATGTTGTACTATTTTGTGTATCTGGAATGAAATAAAAGATCTTCTGGTTTGACTTCCCATTAGTGATTTTCAGTTTTTTATCCGAGAAGGAAACGGACTTTATTGGCAAATAATTGTTCAATGTACATTATTCAAAAATGTCCTCAGTTTACTCATGTGGAAAAATATGCTCTTTAGCGTTTTGGGATGACATGAAAATTCTAACTACTTGCCGCCAGTTTGTTCAAGTAATGTGATTACGCAAGCAATTCACTGAAATTTCTGTTCTAGCGCTCTGGTAGCTACGTTTTGAAAACTCGCACAGAAATTTTCTTAGAACGACTAATAAAAAATGAAAATTCTATTCACGAAAATTTATAATATGCATCTAAGTTATGGGTAAATCCAGCCACTTGGTAGCAACGTGTATTTTTATTTTTAACTTTCAAATTTCGTATGAAGATGTACAATTTTGTGCCCCTTGAATTTGTATAAAGGGTGGCGCATTGAAAACGAAACAGACGCATTTACTGGCAGCTCAGTTTTGCAAAAAATCACGTTAGCACGTGCAACCCCCAAAATCTTAAAAAGGGGGCCTTGTAATACCTTACTTTAAAGGTCTTTGATTTATTGATTTAAAGCTTAAATAAAACTAATACATCATCATTAGTGGAGATCAATACATTTGGCAGCAAAGTAATTTAAAAATGAAGAATGAACTGACCCGTTAGGCAAGTAAATGTTGAAAATGGCAACCATGACTCTCCATGCAATAATAAAGATTTTGCTCAAAACGATGCCGCACATTTTGAAATATTTGAGGAGTAATTTGAAGGCACTCATTCACAATTCTTTGTCGCAGGTCTTCTATTGATGTTGGCTGAGTAGCATAGATTTTGCTTTTTAAATGACCCCACATAAAGAAATTCAAACGTGATAAATCTGGCGATCTTGGGGGCCATTCAATGGCACCTCTTCTACCAATCCATCGATCTGGAAACGTCTGATCTAAATATTGTCGAACACGTAATGCGTAATGTGGTGGGGCACCATCCTGTTTTAACATCAACCTATTTGCAATGTACCGCCGATCATTCTGATGGTCAATTATAGCTGTTAATGCAGGATCTCTGGCATCTTCCAGTAATTCCAAATACATTTCACCGGTCAAATTCCCAGTTAAGGAAAACAGGACCAACTAAATGATCACCAAAAGTACCAGCCCAAACATTTAATTTTTGTGGCTGCTGTGTATGAACCTCTTGATAAATTCTGGGATTAGAATCGGACCAATATCGGCAGTTATGACGATTTACTACGCCATTTAAGAAAAAGGAACATTCGTCGGAAAAGCAAGTGTTGAATAGAAAATGTTCATCTTTTATATTTCGTTCACTCATATCTTCACAAAATTGTAATCGCCGATCAAAATCGTCTTCATTAAGTTCTTGTACAAGGTGAATTTTATACGGATGAAAATTATGGACCTTCAGAATCCGTTGGACAGTACGTCGACTAACACCACACACAGTCTCCAATGTGCGGGTACTTAACGTAGGATCTACATAAACTTGCCCTAAAACCCCCACTTCTATTGCTTCGTTCCTTATGGGATTTTCAATGTAGCGCTATTTATTGGCGACTGACCCAGTTTCCCGAAATTTAGCTACAAGTTCTAGAACATATTTTCGATGCACGTTACGAATGTACCATGGTTAATTTATGTAATAAAGCGTTAGAAGTTATTTTAGCATCAAAGTTTGGTCAAATCAATCGCAAAGTATGTACTAATTTCCTATTTAAAATAAGTACGAGATATTTCCGTATCTCTCTTCAAGAAATAACTTTTTTGCCACAAAAAAACGCTCCAATATCTATTTTCAACAACAAAAAGATAAACAAACCATGGGCGTAGTGAAGAAAAGAATTTACTTATTAAGTAAATTCTTTTAGTCAAATTTCTTCTGAAAGTAGTACAAACTAATGTGATGTATCTATTAAAGTCTACTTTAAGCTTTAAGTCAGTAAATCTTCAAAACTACTGAACTGACGCTCATATATCTTACATCGTTATAAAGGGAATTGAAAGACCCTTAAAATAAGGTATCACTCTGCCCCCCTTTCCATTTAAGATTTTAAGGTTGGTGTCACCCCCGCCCAGGGCTGCACGTGTTTACGTGATTTTTTGCTAAACTGGTGTCCCCTTCGAAAACAAAATCGACGGGCCTGAGCGTTTTTCCAAAAAAAAAAACTGAGCTGCCAGTAAATGCGTCTGTTGCGTTTTCGATGCGCCACCCTGTATATAGTGTTGCCTGGATTACTAATCACAGTACTTAAAATAACGTATCTTCCATAGTGCTGACTTACCTGTCGGTCTTTTACCCTGGCTGTCTGTGCATTCATAGGGAATGCGGACACTCAGGAGCGGCTTCACCTCGAAAACAACTTGGGCCTCTTCTGACGACAATGCAAAATTTGATTGCTGGTCGATCGGTCATTGTAGATACAGATACTGGAACAAAGAAATGTTGTTGTTATAAAGTACATCTAGATTTTTGTCTTGAAGCGTGTACAAATCGATTGTATAGTTGGTATCAAAAGTATCATACAGAAAATCATGCCATGGTTCCAAAAAGTATAAAGACGAAACATCTTCATGTAAAAAACTTGTAAGTGATGCTTATAAAACTGGTTTGGTTTTTTTTTCATTTTCTTAAGTATAAAAATTGTTGCAAGCACTGGCTTGACCACTGTATTATTTTCTCTATCAGGATTTGAAGTTCCGTTAAGAAATTATTATTTTAATACCTGTTTTTATTTCCTTTTGACGTATATATCGGCAAGTAAAATTTAATCCACCAACAGCTCAAATATCCTTCTTTCACATAATTCATAGTTTCCAAGTATAAGATACTCATATATTTGACTAGATCTTGTGAAAGTTAAAAAGAGATAATCTTTGAAGTACGAGTATAATAGCACTATCGAAATAAGACCGCACAAAGTGGTCGATTCGATTCGATACGAAAGGTATATTTCTAGTTAAAATGCAACTGTCTTTAACTTATACTAAGTGACATATGAATCCGAACATCTAGTTTAAATGGTTTTATTTTAATAAAAGTTGGTGAATGTATTTATCTTACTGTAAATAACAAGTGAAAACATTTTCAGCCATATCAGTTGCACATTCCGGTTTTTATACTGCTTTTTATTAATTCACTAACGCTCTAAAAATGAATATTTCAGCCGCAGTAAAGAATCAAGGTTGGCGGATTTTGGCTCTTGACATCCTTTACGATCGGTTACGATGCCTAGAGTACGGAGACCTGTACGATTTCGTCAACGTAGTGAGTTTGATAGGGGCCGTATAGTGGGACTTCGGGAAGCTGGACTTTCTTTTCGGGCAATTGCAGTTAGAGTGCAAAGAAGTGTAGACACTGTGGTTAGGTGTTGTCAGGCATGGCTTCGAGAAGGCCGTACGCAAAGAGCAAGGGGCACTGGACGCCGCCGTAGAACAACAGACCGTGAAGATCGCCGCCTAAGATTATTGGCCTTAAGGGACCGTTTCTCCACTACCAGGTCCATTGCAAATGAATGGTTTACAGAACACGGAAGACCTATTGGCATGCGAAGTGTTTACTGACGAATGAGAAGTTTTGGCTTGTTTTCATACCGGCCACACTGGGTCCTCCCTTTAACTCGAGAACACCCACGTAATTGCCTTGAGTGGTGCAGACAACGGTCACTCTGGGATCAGGAATGGAACAGTATTGTCTTTAGTGACGAGTCTCGATTTTGTTTAGGCATGCACGATGGTCGTGCCAGGGTTAGAAGGCGACGTGGTGAAAGGAGGAATCCATAGTTTTTTGTTGAAAGACATGTTCATCATACTGTTGGAGTTATGGTTTGGGGTGCTATAGCTTATGGTTCCAGGTCACCTTTAATCTTCATCAGAGGTAACATGAACTCGCAGCGTTATATCCACGAAGTTCTAGAACCCCATCTTTTATCCTATCTTGACACCCTGGCAGATCCAACTTTCCAACAAGATAATGCCCGACCACATGTTGCAAGAGTCACAATAGACTTCTTTCAACATAATGATGTCACATTGTTACCATGGCCACCAAGATCTCCCGACTTATCCCCAATTGAGCACGTGTGGGATATGATGGGTAGGAGATTGCTCAATTTGCAACGACCTCCTCAGACTCTAGAAGCACTTCGAGATTAGTTGGTGGTTGCCTGGAATGAGATACCACAGGAGGACATTGACCACCTGATCAGAAGCATGCCTAGGCGCGTTGGAGAATGCGTAGCACATCAGGGTGCATCCACACATTATTAAAGGTCAAAGGGCTTTAAAGCAGTGCAATCATTTTGTAATTTTTATCATTTACTTATTATGCTTCATTTATACAAAATTTTATTAAAATAAAATCATTTAAACTGGGTATTCGGATTTATATGTCACTTAGTATATTTTGCTTCTCTTCCTAACAGTGGTAATAGGGTTTGAATATGACTCTGATTTTGGTTTTGAATAAAACTGGTATAAATTTTCCATCTTCTCACCACAAAGTTGTTTTCATAAACGTTTCCTCCAGTTGGAAAACTGTAGTCCTCACCCACAGCAGTATACGTTGGTGGCGACTCGGTCTGCAACGTGTCAAAGTAAATTGCCGCACTCTCAAGGTTCTCACTGTAGTCGGACATTGGGCTAAACCTTACTAATGACCGGTATTTATTGAAAAGTTAGACCACTCCTCCCTCATCAGTACCTAGAGTGGCCAATTGAATGGTTGATCTGCCCAACTCTTTCTTATTTGGGCAAGGTAAACACTAATTCCTAAGAAAGCAAATATTTATATCTCG